CAGGTTGTGTGTCTCTGTTGTCAGGTTGTGTCTCTGTTGTCAGGTTGTGTGTCTACAGTTTTTTATTGTGTACTGCTGAGTCACTGGTCTGAACTCTGGAACCAACATGGAGGCTCCTGAGTTCAGGGTCCTATGTCCAACAGGCGGATCCTTCTCAGGCCAACATATCCCAGCATTCATTGCAGGTCATTGACCAAGCTAATAAGCTAGCTATGCGAACGGCGGCCACACAAGCCGTTTGCAGACATGATGAAGACGCAGGTCTGAACACGATGGCGACGCTTTAAGTTTGGCTCAGCCCTCGTGGACTGCTGAGGCCACGCCCCCGTAGCCAAACATCAGATCATGGATGAGTGAAGTTTCTTCTTCTCATCATTTCAACAGATGAACTGAACAGAACCAGAGAAACAAGCTGCTGCTCCTGAGCGTCCAGCTGCTGGAGGTCACGAGCTCTGGCTCCTCTTCAGCGGAGCGCTCACGTAGACACAAGCCCACTTTGTATCTGGGCCAGAAAGTGGAAACCCTGTTCAGAGGGATCGAAGCCAAAACAGCCGAGAGTCGTTGTTTTACCGAGGAGGGAGCGACCTCTGCAGATGGAGACGTTCAAAGACGCCTCCGGGAAAACGGCCGTCGGAGCTGCCAACTGACACGAGGCAGTGATATAAGAAAACACACCTGAACACAACATATGGTGAGTTCCTGTGTTTCCTCCATCCTGCTGCACCGGAAGCTCCTCCCCTCCTGTCCACCAGGGGGCAGTGACACAGACAAACCTTACCACAGTGATGACGCTTACAATTTAACACTGTCACAACACGGAGATTCAGAAAAATAGATCAGCTCCACTAAAGTAGCTAAAGTGTCTCAATCATCGCCCCCTGGTGGCTGACCGCAGTGTTGGTCATAAGCTCCGCCTCCTACAAACTAAAAAGAGTACACGTTAAATTAAGTTCGGTTCAATCAACACACAAACAAAACCACAAAAAACACAAACACACAAACCACATACCCACAAATTAAACAAAAGTGACACACAAAGACACAACGAAGCGACCGAACAGAAACTCTCACCTCCGTCTCATCATATCACACACAAGGTGGTGTGTACACACACACACACACACACACACACACACACACACACATTGAATTAACACTGACACAGAGCTGAGTCGCTGATGTTTATAATTATTGACACAACAGCAAAGGGTGTGTGTGTGTGTGTGTGTGTGTGTGTGTGTGTGTGTGTGTGAGCATTAATAATTAATCCTCAGTTCATCTGAATGTAAATGGATCAGACACCCTCCTCCTCCTCCTCCTCCTCCTCCTCGATGAATAAAGCATCAGGGAGGAAGGCATCGCAGGAGAGAGGCAGGTGACTCACTGATGAGCAGGGAAGAAGAAGACTCAACTCAGACCTGCAGGAGGAGGAGGAGGAGGAGGAGGAGGAGAAGAAGAAGAA